GTACTAGAACTGCTGAAAAGTGTAATGTTACACACTGTTTGCACTCCACTCCAGCTTGCAGTATCTATCAGCTACATTAACCATGTAGCTTCAGTGCAAAATTAAAGAAGCAAAGTTCAGGCAGCATTTCTTGGCTGATCAACTAAATTTGGAATAATGGGGACACTGTGTTTGATTTTGGCCGTTCCTTTAATGTGACCACCACCTTAACAGTGCTTAACAGTAGACGACCCTTTCAGAGATCATGCTTTAGTCTGTATAATATCCAATCAAAACAGCCGTTAAGTAACAGTTATGAATATTTTTAGTGTCAGGAAAAATATTTAACAGAAAACTAGACGAGAGCCTCCAAGCATAATATCAAATCTAGCAGTAGGTAGACCACTTCAGCTCCTTCCTGTCTTCAAACCAACCTGTAAAAGCTGTGTCCTCCTAACAAAGGCTGTTCCCAAAGGAGTCACTGACATTATGTTCCCCTTTTACAAGACACTAACATTCACACAAGCAAGTACCCAAACTCACCTTAGCTGCCTTCACATTTCTTTTCTCATCTGCATCTACAATCCCTAAAGGAGATATTTCTGAGAGGATTGATATAAGATGATCCACCTGCATAAGGAAGAGAAGGGGAAAGCCAGAGGAAAATAAGTGAAACAAAACATGAGTTTCTGAAACTGGACTGAAAGATGTGGCACTCCTTTAACCTGATAGACCACCCAAATTGCCATGTCAGATAAATAATATTTAAAGCTTTCATTTTTGAGAGATCTCCACTCTTGTTACTGATCTGGAAAAAATTCACAGGTGTTTTTGTTCATCTTTCCACTGTGAGAAGACAACTCAACACTATGAGTCTGAAAGGATGTGTAGCTGTCAAAATAGCTCTGCAGATTTCATTGAAAAACTGAAATCTCCCAAATTATAGAAGCTGTAATAAAGGCAAGGTGTGGACACACCCTATAGTCAAAATGTATAGTACATTTATTAATTACTGGGTGTAATTGTCTGTTAAACATGTATTTTCTGCTTTTTTCCTGCCACTGAAAATTGAATAAGTTACTTAACATTCTCAAACTACTCAACTGGAGTAGATATTAAATAAATAAAAGGGTCTCTGACTTCTGTACAGTGTGGTATTTACTGTAGATAACAAGAGCATGAACCAGGATAGAGGAAGATGCGTACTGCTATTCAGGAAGAAAATCTTCCATCATACGTTAGAAACGTCCGGACTATTTCAGCTTTTCTCTGCTGCACCATAAACTGACATTGCAGTACATCAACAAGGGTGCGTTGGAGCAGAGCAGTGGAAAATAAGCGGACATATTTTTAAACTGATGGATTGTATCACTGGCCGAGTCTCAGGCGTCTTTGGAGGATATTCATAAAACCTGCTAGAATGCCGCACCTGCTTAGCAACTGCCAAGCCTTGTTTCTAACTGCCACTGGAGTATAGCGCATGAGAGGGAAGACATTTACAACATTCCTGTGCTGTCTTATTCTGTGCTGGGGTACTTTCGTTTTCCTCTTTTCTCCTGTCCTGTCCTGTCAAATAGCTTCTGTCTCCTGTTGTCCTGCTCCTTTTGGGTGAATGTTTATACTTAAATTCTGTCATGTATTTTGAGCATCCAGTTTATGTCTCTTTGGCACCTCACAGGTGGAAATCCACTATGTGGCCAAAAGTGTATGGACTCCTAAATGAGTTCAGGTGTTTTAGCCACACCCATTGCTAACAGGATTATAAAATCAAACACATAGCCATACAATCTGCATAGACAAACGTCGGCAGTAGAAAGTGTCATACTGAAGAGCTCTGTGACTTTAAATGTGGCACTGTCGTAGGATGCCACAGCAAACAACAGCTCAGCCACAAAGTGGTAGACCTTGCAAGCTCCCAAAGTGAGGCCATGGAGAGCTGAAGTGTGTAGCTTGAAAAATATTGCCTCTCCTTGGCTGCCTCACTCTTTATAGAGTTCTAAACTGCCTCTGGAAGCAACATCAGCACAAGAATTGTGCATCGGGAGCTTTATGAAATGGGTTTTCATGGCCAAGCAGCTGCTATCCAGCTCAAGAAGCATTACATGGAGTGGATATATATATATATATATATATATATATATATATATATATATGTGTATGTGTGTGTGTGTGTGTGTGTATATATATATATATATGTGTGTGTATTTATATATATATATATATATATATATAGATAGATAGATAGATAGATATAGATAGAGAGTTAGATAGTAGATAGATATAGATAATGAGCAACAGAGCATGTAATGATATTTCAGTTTCGTCTCTCCAGTAACTGATTTACTTCTTCTTCTACTCCTTTGGGAGTGTGTTGATTTTTCTTCTGCTGACCCTTTCAGTCCCACAGGATTCATCTGGAAATGTCACCATTTAATTGTCGTATTCTTTAATTACTGAAGTTTGCTTTAACATCACTGAGAGTGCTTTCCTCTGAAAATTGATCCCTACAAATTGAATAGACGTCAGTGATATGCATACATACATTATGCATAATATTATGTGGTGTTCTCTGGGTATCTGTAATGTAATCTACTTGCAATTATTTTAATATCTGTTGCATGAGGTGTCCAAGGGGCTGTTCAGAAAACGCCATTGCAAACTCCTCTAAAGCACACTTCTTTTCATTGTTGGAGGAACCCCATGGATGAAAAGCATTCCTCTAGTGTCCACAACACACTTTGCATTTTTAAACTGTGCCTCGTCAAACATAAAGGAATAGATTTGTCTGTTTTCAATTACAGCTGTGAAACACTCAATGCAGAGATTACCACAATCTGAACGTGAGTTTGAATATAACCTTTACATTATTTGAGTTTTTTAAAACTTCCATTCACACGTCTTATTTACAAAAATGAACAATCCTTTAAAATGTTCCTCTGGGAACCAAAAAACAGTTCTTCTATGGCATTAGAACATTTTTGAAGAATGCAGTATTTACACAAAGCAATTAAACATAGACTCTCTACCAGCAGTGATAGTGAAAGAGGAGGTCACATCTGGATGACATCACTCTCTCAGTGGATTGACTGCAGATGTTGGCAGTATAAGTGTGATTTGACAGCAGGAACAACACTACAAATGATGATTCAATTACAGAATTCCCACATCTCCCCTCCTCAGCTCCATCCCTGATGGTCTTCTTGCCACTCAGCTCATTCATAATTCATCAGATTCTTGAGACTTTAGATGATATTAATCGCTACTTAAAAGGAATCTTTCGCTGTGGTTTGACACTGCTGGATCCCCGGTAATAAGCATGGGAAACAGCTTAGCGGATCAATTTTTACAGCTGGCTTGATTCCATTTAAAGATGTTTTTTGGTGAAGTTATTTATACTTCAGATACTTAATTTACATTTTAGAGGAGGCAGCAATTAAAGGGGCATTGTGGCCTAAACTAGCGTTTAATACGTTACGTAATAACCCCAGCCTCATCATTTTGACAGAATTCATGATTTTGTATCCTTTTTGTGTTTTTGTCCATCATCTCTCACTACAATACCCAGCATGCATTACTCAAATACATCATATAACCATTGGAAATCCCCCCATGGCCATGAATAAATCCTACAGAAAAACATTTCAGACAACTCACTCTCAAGTGTCCACCTCACAGCAGTCACAGTTTTCAAAAGCTCCTCCCACCTTCAAGATACCTCATCTGAAGTTTTCTTATACTCTTTAAACTGGAATATCTTGCTCTAGAGATTACTTTGGCACTGGAGGCGAGAAGACATGTTCACAACAGATGTCATGATGATTACAATTTTCAGGTTGGCCTGAGATCACATGAATTACGTCATAGTAACCTCACAAGTCCATTGTTTTCCTGATTTTTTGTTTTTACATCATTATCATAAAATCTTGCTTGTGCAAAAGTTTAAATGGCATGTTTTAATTTTTTCTCAACATGTTAAACTCAGAAAAATTGTACACTTATATATGAAAAGTGTCATATTTAATGTGTTCTCTGTGGAGGATGTGTAACTTATTTTCACTAAACGTAATTTGACCGGGGGTGCCAACTTTTGCAAACTTTTTTTACGACTACATTTTCAAAATAAACTGAAGTTGAGATATTTACATTTATCATGAGTATAAAATTTAATTCATCATGAGTTAAAAAAACTAAAATTTTATTTTAAAAATGCTGTTCCACATTTTCATGTCACTACCGAACTACCAAGGTTTAGCTCATACTTTTTTTACCACAGCCCTGCATTTTGTGTGTTATGATTGTTTTGATAATGACCAAATGGAATGTTGAATCAGTTGTTTTAATATAATAATAATAATAAAACCCTCTGGGGTCGAAGGGCTTTTCCTCAGTTCTTTCAATAAGATTCGACATGATAGCCATATGTTTCATATCAAAATGTTCAGAACAATCTCTGCTCTCTCTCACCTGTGTCTCTGATGTGGACTGAATGAAGAATGAAGGGCTTATTGCGTGATGGGTCAGTCCTTAGTGATTTCCTGGGTGTCCACTGGTCAGTTTCACATAAATTGTAGACGGACACGCGAATCCACCTGTTACACATATGAGAGGCAGATGACGTGTTTCTTAAGCCCTCTTCACAGCCTCATAACTCGAGATGTGAGTCACATAAGATCTTGTGATAAGATGGAATCAAAGGGGTTCATGAAATGTTTGAACTGTGTTTCTGCGCGGTATTAGGCAAAGATAGTTAAAAGTCTGAAGTGTGTTTTGAACTCTGTCTTTGAACCAGCTCTGCAGAATGATCCATACGTGGCATTAGACAACCTTATGTATTCTGATTTTTCCTCCTATACCGTTACGCTTCTGTTCATCCAGGTCTTACCCTCAGTCTCTTTCACTCTCCACATCAATTCTGCTTTCCTCTCTCTTACTGGCTTCACCTGCCATTTACAGGTGCTGTATCTGTCACTGTAGTCCAGAACATTTCTCATTTCTCTCTCTCTCTCTGTCTATCCCTGCAGAGCACCTTTAAGTTTAAGTCAGAGAGTGACATCCATCTGGCTGAACACCATAAACAGGTGTTGTATGATGGGAAATTGGCCAGCAGTATCTGTTTCACCTACAACGCCAAAGCCACGGACGCCCAGCTGTGTCTGGAATCATCGCCCAGAGAGAATCCCTCCATCTTTGTCCACTCGCCACACGCCCTCATGCTGCAGGTGTGTGTATACTCAGCTTTATTCTCTTTATGGGGACAAAATGTCCCTGTAATGATAGGAAAACATAAACAATTCAACATTCTAGGGACAATCAGCATTATTAATTGCCCAAACAAGTTAAGTTTTGGTTTAGACACAACACTGTTAGCTACATTGTGTCATACTGTTTTCTATAAAATGGTTGCTTAAACTATATAAACAAGTACAGTACTGTGCAAAAGGTAGAGACCATCCTTAATTCATCTCATGTCTAGTCAAAATTACCATTAAGTACAAGTTTTTTCAGTATTTAGTTTGTCCGCCTTTTGGTCTGGACTGGTCTATTTGTGTCTCAAATGTTCTTTTTTGTCTGTTTTCTTTTCTCAGTAAGAGCTTCTTAACAGCTACATATCCTTTCAGACTCATAGTGTTGAGTTGTCTTATCACAGTGGAAGGATGGATAGAAACACCTTTTTCGGATATGAAGCAGCTTGGTTTTCTCTCAAGGATGAAAGCTATAAGTTCTGTTTATCGGACAGTGACAGTTCCGGTGGTCTACCAGGACTTGCTTGGTTGTTATGAATCCTAGTTTTAGAAAATTCAGTTTTTTCACTTATTTTGCTTGACCTTCTCCTTCCTTATGCAAGTGAATTATCTCAAATCAAATCTCCTTGTCAAATATGAATAGTTTGTACCTAGTGGTCTTTCTGATTGTTAAATGAAATATATGAAGATTGGGATGATGTAACAACTTAATATGGTTTAAGGGAAGTGCTTGACGAATTAGACATGTTATTTGCTCGGTGTTAACTGTGCAGAAAACTGTAAATCCAGTGCTTACATTACAGGAAAAACCCGCCCTTGTTTCTTCTTCCACAAGGTTTTTCTTTTTTTCATGCTTTTTTTTAACATCACCTTAAAGCCCTAACTGGCCTTTGCATTGTGGGAATATTTTATGATGAATGTATATGAAGAAATGTGTAAAAAAGAAACTTTACAGAGTCAAAAAAAAATTCTTGTAATTTTAAAACATTTCACTTTACAGCACAACTTTACAGGAAGTATATGTAGCTTTTTGTTCTGTAAAGTTAATGTTTTTTTTGGTTTTTTTTTAATTTTTACCCGATTTTTCTCCCCAATTTAGTCGTCTCCAATTCCACCCGCTAGTTAGGACTCCCCCAATCACACGATGCTATCAACGCTAGGAGGGTGAAGGCTAACACAGGCTTCCTCCGAGACCTGTGAAGCCCCACCGTTTCTTTTCGAGCTGCCGCTCACGCAACGTCATTAGACAGCCGAACGCGCTCGGAGGAAAGCGCCAACCACCAGATCTGCTACGTCAGCTAACAGACGCCTGCGCTGACTAGCATCGCACTGAGTGATGGGGGAAGAGGAAGGGGCCATCCTATCCACCCAGGGAGAGCGAGGCCAATTGTGCTCCCTTGGACTCCCAGCTACGGATGGCTGTAGCATCACCAGGGATCGAACTCGCGATCTTCTGATGATAGGGCCAACGCTTAGACGTTATTAGAAGTTATTATTAGAAGTTATTGTTTTAAAGCTACAAGATTTTTTTTTTTTTGACTGTTTTTAATAAAGTGATTCTTGTAAATACCTGCTGGGATTTATTTGTCAACGTTGAAGAGCAGTGTTAAAAATACTCCCATGAGTCACTCTGTTTCCCTGTGTTCCCTCTTATTTCTTTCTTTCTCCTGCAGGATGTGAAGGCCATTGTGACCCACTCCATCCACAGCGCCATCCATTCTATTGGGGGCATCCAGGTGCTCTTCCCTCTCTTCGCTCAGCTCGACTTCCACCAGCACAATGAGAGCCAGGTGGAGACCACTGTTTGGTAAGTGCCCTTATCTGACCCTTGATTATCTGACCAGGGACACAGCGGGGTTTATGGTAGAAAAGCTATTTTATATCCAGTATATAATAAGGCATGTAGTACAATGGAGTTGCTAGGGAGAAAGCACAAGGCCCCTTTACTACTAGAAAGAGAGATTGTTAAAAAGCCTTCAATTTCCCGAAAAGTTGGAATTTGTTTTTTAATTTATTACAGGCCAAAGAAAATGAACTGATCTCTGCTTTCAGTTTTTATTAGCATTTCACTTACGGTCACCATTTTTGGATTTGAAGTATTAATTTTAAGACATTATTCAGTAATACTGCTGTTAATTATTTGGCAACTACTATGAAATTAATATGTGAGTTATGTAGGTATGAGAATGAGGAGATGAAGTGTGAGTCTATAGCCTAATAATCTGTTATTAATCTGACTAATAGCTCAATTGGAATACAATATGTCCATGAATACACCTAAATCGGAATAGGCTAGTCTGACTGAGGCCATTCGGAATACAATTCCTATCCGATTGAACGAGGTGGGTAATCCTGTAAATAATCTGTCGGATATAAGAATAATAGCCATGTAAACACGTGTATCTGATTACATTCCCAATCAGAAAGTTTAAGTATGTTCTGCGCATGTTTGTTCGCATCATAGCAAAAGTTTATAACGGTGCGGCAGCAGAAAATGGTCTGCAGAGGAGATGAAGTTTATGCTCTGAGCTCTAACCCTAACCCTAGACAGCGGTGGGACGGGCGTCCAGCCTATGTGTCTCATGACACAACGTCTTCCTCTCAGCCTTCTTTAATAAGGACATGTGATGTATGTTTTCCTGAGTCTGACATCATTTAAAGCAATTAAAAACATAAGCACTGCTCACTGCTGCTCATCTCACTCATCTAACATCTACACTAAGTGGTACTCTATGCATGTGTGTAAGTTTGGATCTGATTATTTGTAGTGCGCATGTAAACAGAGATTTTCCATCAGATTGTTGAGTAAAGTGAACAGATAAACACCTCAGTCTTAATTTATAATCAGAATGTATTCAATCGGATTGGCAAAAATCTTTGTAAGTAAACACAGACACTGATGGTTTAAGAGGTTAAATATCTGTTTTTTGGTGCATTTTTGTGCACTGGATCAAAAAGTGAAGTTGACTCAATACATCGATATTCCAATATTATTAATATTGATTATTAATATTAATAGATATTTTAATCTAACAAGTACACTTTTTTACATTGTTAAATTAGTTTGCTGACTGAAATCTCTGAACTTATACACTGATGAGCCAAAACATTATGACCTCTCAAAGATGCGTGTCAAGGTCTGTGTTAGGTTATACAGTAAGCAAACAGTTGGCTTTCATAGTAGACGTATTGGATGTGTGAGAAATAAGCAGGTGTGAAGACCTGAGCGACTTCAACAAGGGCCACATCATCATGGCCAGATGACTGAGTTATATGCTAGAAACGGAAAGTCTATCCTGTCATAACCAACTGAAGGGCTACAGTGGCACAAGTAGAATTTTTTATGATGGTTATAGGAGCAATGTGTCACAACACACAGTGCATCACATCCTGCTGCATATGGGGCTGTGTAGCCATGGACGGGTCAGAGTATCCATGCTAACCCCTGTACTTAGGTCACCAGGTTTGATGAGTCCTGTTTCCTTTACATTGCATGGTCGGCCGGGTACTTGTGTGCCATTTACCTTGGGAAGTGATGGTACCAGGAGGCACTGTAGAAAGAGGACAAACATGTGGAGGAAGTGTGATGTTCTGGGCAATGTTCTGCTATGAAACCCTGGGTCTGGGCATTCATGTGGATGACTCATGCCTCCTACCTAAACATTGCTGTAGATCACGTAAGCACCTTCATGGCAGTGGCATTCCCCGATGGCAGTGGCCTCTTTCAGGAAACGCACCCTGCACCTCACAACTTAGAGGACTGAAAATAATCTGCTGTTAATGTCTTCGTGCCAGATACCACAGAGGTCTTGTAGAGTCAGTCCGACTCCACCTGTCAGAGCTGTTTTGGCAGCACATAGAGGACCAGCAGCAAATTAGGCAGGGGGTCATTATATTTTGGCTCATTGGTGTATTTCAAAACTGAAGTCTGCACAAATCAGTAGGTCATATTCTCTGCATTTATTAAGTTGCTGATAGAGGATACCTTAAAGGGAAATTCTATCCTAAAACTAGAGTTTAAAACTAGAGTTTAATATGTTGTGCAGTGTTCTGTAGTGCAGCATTGTGTCCCTCAGCCTTATCAGTGTGACAGAATTCCAGATTTCATATCATTTTTATGTTTTGATTAATCAGTGTTCTCTTACTACAATGCCCAGCATGCATTTCGCAAAATTTGTTGATGGGGAATCCCTGTGGTGTCAACCAATCCTGACTGCTAACCAAGCATTAGTGTAACTTTTACCTCTTACCTTGGTTGGTGATTTATTCACCACAAAACACCAGTCAGAGCGTTTCACCATTTCAGCCAGAGAAGAGAAGCCAAACTGAGGCAAGATATCGAGGCTGCCAGATCACAATCTTTAAATTTTAGCTAGTAAAAGTAAATCATAAAAATATTTCCAACAGTCTGCTCCCAGAACCACTTTCCAAAGTTGTAGTTTTTCAAAAGTTCTTCCCACCTTCACGATACCTCATCAGAAGAGTTTTTTCTAGTCTTTAAACTGAAGAATCTCACTCTAGACACTGCTGCAGCGCTGCTATATAATGAAACTAGGCATGTTTACAACAGATGTAGGGATGGTTACATTTTTCATTTTGGCTGTAATGCTCCTTTAAAAAATGACCCATCACAGTTCACATATCTGTTCTTCTTACAGTAAGTGGTTTACAGCCTTCATTTGAATGCCCACAGCAGGCCGACGGTGGTTCTTGTTTATGCTTTTCTCCAGATTCAGGCCAGCAATATTTTGTTTAGGTTCATTAGTGCCTTAACATCAGTGTCATCCCTTAATGATACTGACTTATTTGTGATGTTAAAGTTGGTTGTATTCATCAGTGGTGTGCATTGATTTAGCCTGTTCTGATGTTGAATGAAAGAGTCAATGCGGTGTTTCTCTCTGAGGGCCAGAGCTGAGCTGGCCAGGCCATTCTGCAGGGCTTAGTGGACCAGCCTAAAGCTGACTGTAATCCTGGTTTAGCTGTTCCGAGAGTGCTGTGCCCACTCTCAGTCCCCAACAACTCCTCATCGCCCTTGGTCTCACCCCTCTCCCTCTCTCTCTCTCTCTTTCTCTCTCTCTCTCTCTCTAACTGTGAGGCTGCAGGAGGATCAGTGTTTTCTGTACAATGAGCTGCTGTATAATCTAACGTCAGTCGCTACTTTGCAAAATCATGGAGTGTTCTCTAGGGATTTGCCACTTATAGCATATATTCTATGATACTGATGTCTAAAAATGTATGTGCACTGTCTGTCAAACGTTTCAATCAAACAATCAGCCTTTATTTTGACTCGGAAGTACATTGAGGGTGACCCTAATTTACAATGTAGCCGGGCAAATTACAAGGGATTGAAAAAGTTGAAATGAAATTTACCAACTAAAACAAATGAAAAACAATCAAGACAAGAAGATTTCTATAAAAAATAAATGAAATAAATAATAAATAAAATAGAAATAACAGCTCAAATAGAAAACAGGCATAATATCAATACAATAGACAATGAAAACACATTAAAATGAAATAAAAGAACCAACTTAGATAGTAAGCAGTAAGAAAACTAAAATTATTTACTAGAATAGAACAGTAAAATGATTACAATGAAATAAAACAGTTGCAATAAAATATTAAAATAAAATTGATACTACTACTACTAATAATAATAATTAGTTGGGTTTTTGCAAAGGTCTAGTTAGCAGCTATTTGCTAATAGTATATATTGCAGTGCTTGTATTCCTTAAAGTGTCTTCATTGGTAAAGAGCAGATTTTGCCTAAATAATGTTTTGACAGTTTTCCAAACTATTGTTAAAAGCACATATGGAAACCAGTGATGTTGTAAACTGAGAGTAGGGGTGTAATGGTACAGTCACAGATTGGTCCACACTGCGATTTGGACATCGCAGTTTGATACGAGTTTGTCACAGTGTGAAAAAATCAGCAAAAACACCCAAAAGCATAAGGCTAAGTTTCTTTTCATTTATTTTGAACAGACTGTGGTGCGAGTTACAGTTTGTTCCACCTAGTTTCATACAGTCCCCCCCAGAGGTAGTTTGCACAGCCTGTAGTGTGGGTGATTTGCACTTGACGGGGAAAGTTACTAACATTAACTAACGTGTTGAACGGTGACCGTTCAACTTCAGTTGTGATTTTATAGTTGGGAGCAGAGAAAACACAGAAGAATTCATGAGACTTTGTGCTGAATCTCTTCACAGGTGCTAAAATACTGCAGGCTGTGGGTAGAGCTAAGTCTCATTTCATTTGTTTAATTTCGGCTTGTGGTTTTTAAAATCTTTTTATTTACCTTGATAGCTGGTATCCTCACCTCTCACTCACTGTTCAAACACCTTAAACTCAGCCTCACAGCTCATCAGTAGTCAGGAGTTATGATGATACTGCAGTTATGAAGCCTTGAAAGACCAAATCATTTGGCACTAGCTGCAGATGGAAGCTCTTCCCTAGACTGCTAACTTGCTAACAGCTTAAGGTTTCCAGGTGGAATTTGTGCTTGTAAAATTTTGTTTCACATTACATTCACCAGTCTTCGCACATACCATGTATTCTCAGTATGACTGCATGCACTGTACCTAAATGCCCATACCGTGATGGTTCAGGACGAATACATGTACCGTTACAACCCTAACTGAGAGGTTGGAGTGCAGATGAGGGCTGACGTCACAACAAGGGATACAATTAGTGGGCTTAAAAAATAGAGCTTTTGTCAGTTGTTTGACAAAAAATGGCAATATCTGAACATCTGTCTGTGCATAATATTTATCATACATTAGTTATTGCAAACTAGCAAAGGAAATGTGTTTATTTGTGAAAAAGAGTTTTAAAAAAAGTGTCCCCAAACTTTTAACAGGCAGCATATAAAGGTACCTTTGTCTTTCATTAGCTCAAAGCACCAAAGACAGTTATCAAAAGAATTTCACCACTCCAACAGAGTTTAAGGAGTTAGACACGGCATACTTTGATGAACATAGAAAAAGAGAAACGGAACTGGAAGAAGATGATCAAGTATTTGAAGGACTTGGAAGAAGCATCAATGACCATCGTTATGTGGATGACACAACACTCACAGCATGAAATCAGGAAGATCTGAAGGCCCTTAGAAGGAAAGTTAAAGAACAGAGTGATAAGATGGAACTTCAGCTCAGTCTTTTCTGCGGTTCTCAATGGATGCGAAAGCTGGACAAAAAGAAAGCAGGACGGGAAGAATATTAATGCCATTAAACTTTATTGTTGGCCTGGAATTTTGAGAGTTCCTTGGACAGCAAAGAAAACAAACAAATGCAGCCCAGAACTGGAGCTCCAAACTGAAGCTCTTATTTTGGACATATTGTGAGAAGAACTAACCCACTGGCAAAGACACTTATGCTTAGAACAGCTGAAGTGAAAAGAGGACAAGGACGATCTGCAACAGGAGGGATGGCAGTAATCAGTGGAAGAATGTACAAGCCTTTAAGAAGCCTGAAGACCCAGACAGAAGACAGGATGTTCTGGGGAAACAGTATCCATATGGTTCACAGGAGTCAGAACCAACTTGACAGCACTTAAAATAGAACAAAGTTTTTGTTGTTGATGTTGTTGACTGGAAGTTGTTGTCTGAATTCAAGGGACAGAAAAATGCTGTCCTCTCATGTCTGTCTCATGTCTCCTTTTGAAGAGTGCACATTATTGAGGGTCATGTATTGATGTCTTGTGCTGATGTGTGTCTTGCAGTGCGACTCTCCTGGCCTTCCTGGTGGAGCTGCTGAAGAGCTCTGTGGCGATGCAGGAGCAGATGCTGGGAGGGAAAGGCTTCCTGGTGATCGGGTACCTGCTGGAAAAGGTTAGTGGCATCTCGGCAGTTATATATATATATATATAATTTTGGATAGGAAGCATGCGGTTAGCATGACCTGTGATGACTCTGTGTCTCTGAAGTGCCATGAAGTTATGACCATATTGTAGAGTGGATGATAATAGTTATAGATGAACAAATGTCACACAGTGTAACTGGTTTTCTTTGTTTGAGCCTGTGTCAGTCAGCAGTGGTCAATCGGGTGATCAGGAGAGCACTGTGTGTGTGTGTTTGCCCATCTCTGCTGTATCTTCCTTCTCTTCTGCTGTTTTCCTCATCCTTCTCTCTCTTCCTCATCTATCATTCTCATCTTCTTTTCCTCTTCATCCATCTCTCTCTCTCTCTCTCTCTCCCCCCCCCCCCCTCTCTCTCTACACCACTGTTTTATTTTAAAAATCTGTGCTCTGTTTTTGGGAGCCTTAGCAGAAGATAAATCTCAGCCAGGCTGTGTCAGGTTGTGCGTGTTAATGTGAGACAGCACCTGAGAGTTAGTTTGAGTGTAGCAGCAGTCCTGCTGTTAGCTGTCCCATTCACACACAGCCAGCCATCTGCTTCTGCCCCGTTCACCCACAGCCCACGCCGGCCACCCCACAGGTGCCAGCCAGCACTAATCACCCACCAACTTTGCTCAAAGTGAAAGTCCTCGTTTGACTCCAAAGTCAAACTGCAACTCTAAGTTTTTTATTTATTTTTATTTTTTAAGCAGAATGAGTCACACACACACATACACAGTGAGCTGTGCTAAAAAGGGGTTTTCAAGAGTTCTTTAGTAAAGCTAGCAGTGGTTATAAAGTCAGCTCCATAATTATTGCCACGCTTTGTCAAGAAAAAATGTCTTTGTGGATAATTAGCTCAATCTCACACTGAAAATATGAGAGAAATCTATCCTTTAATTAAAGTAAAACAAAGGCTTAGTTATTATATTTTGTGCTGCATCTATTATTAACATTGTTTTTGTTATTGTTGTTGTTGATTTTATTATTCATAATCTCCATGACTGAAGACCTGTTGTATGTTTTTTTTTATATCCTTGTAGAAGAATTCCTCGAAAGTCACAGAACCTTTTTTGTACTATACAGAATCCTTTTTTTCCTAAAAGCGATGTCCAACTCTAGTAAACAGATTTTAAGTGTCTTTTTACTATGTTGTGTATCATTTATTTTCTCTGCACATTAAAAAAAAAACAACTATTAAAATGACAAGAAATTACAAATTTAAAAATTTAAATTACCAAAGTTTTTTTTGCAGTTTTTCAAGAGTTTTTAAAAAACAGAAAGAAGTTAAAATGGTAAATTATGTAGTGTAATTATCTATTTATAGTGATTTCTTGCTATCAGCCTTAAGATTTATGAAATCCTGGATGTTAGTGTTAAAACTTAATTCTCAATATTATACAGCTTTGTCTGTCATTTTAGAATCATCTACAGCTTCTTAAAACTCTTCACTTATGTAGCTTCTTGCAAACGATTTTAAAGCTGTAGAGTACTAACATCATTCAGATCACCTTTTTTATGCCTCTGCAACAAAAATAGGTTAATGTTATTAAAAAGCACACATTCCAGACTTTTGAACTGTAGTGTATTTGATGTTGTGCTCCGTTTTGCTCTGCAGTCGTCGCGGGTGCACATCACCAGAGCCGTCCTGGAGCAGTTCCTGTCTTTCGCAAAGTACCTGGATGGCCTGAGCCACGGTGCTCCTCTCCTCAAGCAGCTGTGTGACCACATCCTGTTCAACGCGGCCATCTGGATCCACACCCCAGCCAAGGTGAGAGCGCCTCAGTGGGGTTTGGGTCACCTCCGCTGTCCCAGCGAAACACATATTTCACCCTGTCAACACGCTGCAGTGAGGAACAGCTAAACATAGCTCTGCTGTACCAGAGCAGTGCTAAAGCCAGAGGAGAAGAGAGGTGGAGGGTGAAGAGGTGCACAGTGTGTAGCACAGCATCAGCTGGAGTTGGCGATGTGTAATATAACCCAATTAGTGCCTTGATTGGTATCTCAGTGGAGGCAAACAGGATACAAACAGGATCTCCACCAGTATCTTTATCACACCACTAAGAGTCCTTGGGCAAGACTCCTAATTGCTCTGTAACATAATTAGTCTGTGTCATTCTGGATAAAAACGTCTGCCAAATACATAAATGTGAATGTTATATTAGTCGCATACAGTCGTATGGAAAAACTTGGGCTCTCCTGTTAAATGATGTTTTGTTGATTTTTATTTATTTATTTTTTTAATGAAAATAAATCAATTTCCTGTACAGAGAACATATGTCTGCACATTTTAATGCACAATTACCTTTTGTTTTTTTTTCTGCATTTAACATACTGGAAAAAATAAAAGATAAAATGCAAAGGTTATGGCACATTTTCTATTTTATGTTTTACAATTTTTCCAATATGTTAAAGTCAGCAAATAAATATAAATTATATACCAAAACGTGCAGAATAATGCCATGTTTGTTTGTTTACTGTTGAGGACATGAACTTATTTTCACTTACAAAATCAATAAAACATGTCTTTTTCAAACTTTGGCATACGACTGTAGCTTGAGTGAAAAAATAAAGAAGTAAACTTTAGACGTCAGAGAAATCTTAGCTGACTGACTTTGTTAAGGATGAGAGAAAATTTGTGGGACATTACAAAAGTATAGAAAAAATCAGAATTGGCTGTTTTTAAACTACCCTTTATCCGCATTTAACCCACCTGTGCAGTGAAACAACCACATACACACTAGTGAACACACACACACACTTGGGGGCAGTGAGCACACTTGCCCGGAGTGGTGGGCAGCCCTATCCATAGCGCCCGGGGAGCAGTTGAGCGTTAGGTGCCTTGCTCAATGGCACTTCAAGCACGTACTGTCGGCTCAGGGGGTCAAACCAGCAACCTTGCAGTCACAAGGCTGGTTCCCTAACCTCCAGCCCAGGACTGCCCCCCTTTTTTTAGCAATGCAACATGCAGTTATATGCAAAAATTTAAACACCCCTGGCCAAATTACATGTTTTGGTGATTTTCTAAGTTAAAATAACTTAAATGAGGAAATTTCCTGCAAATTTCAGTGCACAACTTTTATTTATTTGGTGAGTGTATTGTGTAGGAAAAAATAAAACACAAGCTATAAAATGTGCTATAACTTTTGCTCAGGCCACGTTATGTCCTATGTTAAAGTCAGCAAATAAACAGCAGTTATATATTAAAATGTGCAGGACTGTGTCCTCCGTAAAGGGCAAGAAAAACATGTAATTTGACCATATGATTGTACTTTTGTCCATTTAGATAATAGCATGTTGTACACTGGCAAAAACTACATAAACACGTGTATTTCTATTATCTAAGAACTCGGTACAGTTTGAGGCAGCTGGTTGAAGCAGCGAGTTTCCATTACAGGCAGCACGGTGGCGCAGTGGGTAGCGCTGTCGTCTCACAGCGAGAAGGGCCTGGGTTCGATTCCCAGCCGGGCTACCAGGGTCATTTCTGTGTGGAGTTTACATGTTCTCCCCGTGTCTGCGTGGGTTTCCTCCCACAGTCCAAAGACATGCAGTCAGTGACCTGTCCAGGGTGCATCCTGCCTTCCGCCCAATGACAGCTGGGATAGGCTCCAGCACCCCACCGCGACCCAGAAGGTTAAGCGGTTTAGATGATGTATGTATGTAAGTTTCCATTACTTGTTACATTAGCTACACTGGCCTTTGTGTAGCTAATGTAACACTAACTAAAACTAAAAAAGCAACTTCAGTCTTTTAGGTGACCAACTGAATTTTGAGTTCAATGCAAAATGATGGAAATTAGATTTTTCTTGCACAAAAAGTGTGAGTTTGATCGCTCCAGTTACTCATGCAGGCAGAGCAGGCAGAGTTGTACGCGCTCGTGAGAGAAAGTGTGTGTCAGAGCCGCAGATGAAGATGGCCTATTTGTTCTGCGTGTAGAGGCGTTTTTTCACTCCTGCTCAGATTAGCTTTTGAAGTTAGAACTGTTGAAATATTGACTGTCGTAGCTCAGCTCTGGGTCATGTAAGGTTGCTGCCGGAGTCGAGGCGAAGTGATCATTTTTTTATGGTCCTCTGCAGTTTTGTCATGCTGAGCACCCGCTGCTTGTCGTCACAGTTGGTCTGTAAACTCAGAGGGAAGTTTGTTTTGAAATGCTAAAAGATTGAAATTTGGCCCCCTGCGCTCTGTAATGACCCGTGAAGGAGTGGATGAGGCGTATCAAAGAGGGACGACGCTCTGTGTGCCAAACACACTCGGCTCAGCCACCAGGCCATGAGGACCCTTCATGAATAAATAAGAGTGGTGTGGAAATACATGTAGGAGAGAGAGAGAGAGAGAGAGAGAGAAGAGAGAGGGAGAGAGGGAGGCTGCTGCATCTCTGGAGACCAGCCACAACTCAGAAAATAGAACAGAGAGAGAGAAAGAGAGAGACTTGTGTAAGCAAGATCGAGAGTAGGGGAGAGAGGGCGAGACTTGGATGAGAGAGCGAGAGAGCGACTTGGAGGAGAAAGAATGAAAGAAAGAGAGTTACAGAGAGAAATAAAGACAAATAGAGAGAGTGAGAGAGAGCGAGTAAGAGATAATGAAGAAAGAAAAAGGGAGAGAAAAAAGAGAGGGTGAGCAACAGAGAAAGAGAGGGAGGGTCGAGTGAGAGAAATCAAGGAAGAAAGCGAGAGAAAGAGACTTGTTTGAGGAAGAGAGAGAAGGAGGGAAAGAGAGTTGGGTGAGAGATGGAGAGGAGAGGAGAGACTTAGAGGAGAGAGAGAGCAAGTAAGACAAGAAGAGAGAGAGAGATACAAAATAGTAGGGTGAGCGAGCGAGAGAGAGAGGGAGAGAGAGCGACTTGGAGGAAAGAGCAATAAAGAAAGAGAGTGACTGAGAGAGTGAAATAGACACAAATAGAGAGAGTGACAAAGAGAGAAAAAGAGAAGGAGAGAAAAAGAAAGGGTAAGCGATGGAAAAAGAGAGAGGGTTGGGTGAGAGAGATCAAGAAAGAAAGAGTGAGAGAAAAAGATTTGTTTGAGGAAGAGAGACAAGGAGGGAAAGAAAGACTTGGATGAGAGATCGAGAGGAGAGGGTAGATTCAGAGGAGAGAGAGAGAGCAAGAAAAACGAGAAAAGAGAGAGAACAAAAGCCTTGGCTGAGAGAGAGGGAGAGAGAGAGAGAGACTTAGGTGAGAGAGAAATAAAGAGAGGGTGACAGAGAGAGAAATAGAAATAGAGAGAGTAAGAGAGGGTAATGGAGAATGACGAAGAGAGAAAAAGAGAAAGAGAAAAAGAGTTGAGCGATAGAGAAAGAGACAGAGGGTCAGGTGGGAGACATGAAGAGAGAGAGAGAGAGAGAGAGAGAGGGAGAGATGGACTTGCTTGAGTGAGAGGTGAGAGAGAAAGAGAAAGAGACTTGAGTGAGAAGTAAAGAAGTAGAGAATTGATTGAGTGACTGAAAGTGAAAGAGGGAAAAAGACAGAGAGAGAGACCTGGGTGAGAGAGCTCAAGAGAGAGGGGGAGAGTTGTGTGTGAGAGAGATAGAGAGATGCAGTAAATTGTAGGTGATAAATTGCAGTAGAGTGCTCCAGTAAACCCAGTAAACAGCAGAAGCTGTCTGTCTGTCTCTTGTAGATGAGTATGAGAGTGGTCTCAGACTGGTGGTCCCCTCCAGGCAAGTCAGCTCTTCACACTAGTATCATATTCACTTACTGTCGGCTCTGGGCGAGCTCTACTGGGAGAGCCACGCTTTAATTGGAAGAGCTATCTACACTCATCAGTGTTTCCCTCCCATCCTCTGAGACCGGTGCCGCAGTGCCGTCTAAAGTCCTGGTTAGCCTACAGCCTTAGAGACCAGCTCAGACCCATTCTCCTCTACAGGTTCCTCACTACATTTCACTATCATGTCTAATGGTTAGTGTGCTGTCACTATAGTAAAAAAAAGAGAGGAGAAAACGTTTGTAATTCAAGGTCCGATATCACGGAAAACCCGATTTTCCCTTGATTTTTAAAAAACAGTTTGATGTAGTATGTAAACATTGTCAACGTTTCGACTTGTGACATTCACTGCTTAGTCCATACAGTCCATATATGGAATTTGACTGGTTGCACAAGGCAGCCATTTAAAATCAGGTAATTTGCACATATCAGCTTTAAAATCACAGTTAAGTAACATATAGCTTGTTTAATTCTAATGGATTAAGTGAGGCTGGAAAATGGTCATGTGAAAATAGTTCTACCAGAAAGACTCCAGAGACGAACATGAAGAAAGAAAAAAGTAGTTTAATCTCAATTATATTTAACAATTCGATAGATAACAATTTTTGTAAGTTGAAGTCCTTGGCTTGGGCCCTGTCATCGACTCAGGTCTTCAAACGTGTAGACCCTCACAGATCCTGCCGTATAGGGATGGCAGGGGGCGGAGCCTAACCCCTCAGGCAACCGGGCGGGGACCAACTGTTGGTGGTGGGGAGGAAGGAGGGGAATGATAAAACATCAGCATCTGAAAGCAGCAAAGCAGACGTGCAAGTCGAGTCATTTTGAAAACATTGGAGCTTTGGAGTCTCCCTGGCAGAATTTGCAGTAAAGCTTTTGTTTATTTAAACAGAAAGTTTTTGCATGTAAACCTTAAAGTCATAAACATATCAGTATGCATGCTTCAGAACATGTTACCAATTTAGTACCATTTCAACACTTAACACAAAAGATGATGGTAACTGCAATGAAAACTCATTCAAATATTACACTCATATTAGTAAATGAACATTACATTGAAAACAATTGTCAGTGTACAATTGAACATATATAGATGGGGGGGCAGTCATGGGCTGGAGGTTAGGGAACCAGCCCTGTGACCAGAGGGTCGCTGGTTCGATCCCCTGAGCTGACAGTACGCAACTGAGGTGCCCTTGAGCAAGGCACCCAACCCCCAACTGCTCCCCAGGTGCCATGGATAGGGCTGCCCATCGCTCCGCCAGTGTACTCACTGCCCCCCACTGTGTGTGTTCACCAGTGTGTATGCAGTGTTTTATTGCACGGATGGGTTAAATGTGGAGGTGAATTTTCCCCGTTGTGGGACAAATAAGGGTCACTTAAATGTTTTGAGCCCCCTATGTTCAACACTGACACCCCCCAAAACCTGCTAAAATGCTTGATGATCAGGATAAACAAAGCTCAATAGCAGCTTAGCTTGCTAGCATTACTAGGTACTGCTCATCCTAGCAAGCAATACAAACTGAGGATCAGTTTTGTGATTTTTAATGCATTGAAATGAATCCTTATTGTGAAAACTGTGTGTTTTCATGTGACACATACCAATGACTCTAACTAGGTAAATATAGACTGTTGAATTAAGACAACACATTCCGTGTATTTTGCTTACTTGATATGAATACTTGATATGGTTGCCTAACTTTGTGTATAAAGCAAACATGGCAGCCTTAAAACTGGCTAAAAACTGCTGAGAGATTGTATATTTATGCTTATTTCAGTTTCACTTTAGTCCATCTTAATTTTCATATCTTTTACAAGAAAATATACTAAAACACAAAACTGACATTTCACAGCATTTTGAGTGGTTGTAAGTGGTCTGCATCAAATATATACTTTCAATGCAGTTTATTGGTCCATCATGAACTGTTCACACAATATAAGGGTCAGCTGTTTTTTTTCAAATAGTATAAAAAATTGAGTTGTGCAGTTTTGAAATGACCACGGCAATGTGAAGCAGGAATGTAGGTGTAATGTGCTTTAATTCCTTTCTGAAGCTTCTTTGTGTTTTGACGCTGCTGTATGTTGGGATGGGAATGCCCTATTAATTAAAGTGGAGATTAAGGAGCTTAATTAAAGATGGAGTTTGGAACAGTTCACAGTGTAGCCAGAGGTTACATAGATCCAAGTTAATCCTCGTATGAACCCTTTTGCATGATGGTAGTGAGCTACTCTAAGTGCCACATACTGACTCTATTATCAGCAAAGCTCTAGTATTATAGCAACGCTAGCACTAACCAGCACACAGATATAGTTACCATCCTGCTGTAATACTGTGTACTTCATGATATAATCATGTATCATGAAATTGATATTTTGGGAATTTTTTTGAAAGTATTAGTTTGGCTTCTTTAAAGGGGTATTCTACTGATTTTCCAGAATTTCTCCATAATTCAGTGGTTAAGATATGAACAAAGTAATTGAGAGTAGTTTGCTGTGAAATGGTTACTTTGTAGAGAAACTTATAGACTCTGATTTCTTTTACCATTTTATTGACTATCCAAAACCACCCAGGGAACCTACATGTAAATTGTAATGTAAATTAGTGGTACATCTGGAAAAAAGAGTTTTCTTTGGGGACTATTTTGCCTTAGAACACCCTTCATGTATCCCTCCACCATGACTGGATTAAAATTCATTAATTTAAAACATGTTAAAATATGTTTTAGACCAAATCGTTGTCACGCAAGTACCACAAAACAATGTCTCAGACATCAGGCTGAGTATTCATAACCTTTCAAGTAATAACTTTGTAATAACACACACTAACACACCACCACCATGTCAGTGTTACTGCAGCGCTGAGAATGATCACCGCCCAAATAACAAAGTATGCAGAGAAACAGATGGACTACAGTCTGTAATTGTAGAACTACAAAGTGCACCTATATAGTAAGTGGAGCTGATAAAATGGACAATGAGCATAGAAACAAGGAGGTGGTCATGATGTTATCCCTGATTGGAGTATGTAAATGTACAAAAGCAAATTAACAAAGTCATAAAAAGAAGCAGCCGTGTGAGTTTTGTCCATATTTCTTATAAAAATGTAGATTATTTTTATTTATTTATTTATTTATTTTTAACCAAACAATTGCTTTAAAGTCAGCTTCCACTTTTGTGTCTGTCCTCCAGGTACAGTTGTCGTTGTACACTTACCTGTCAGCAGAATTCATCGGCACAGCAACCATCTACAACACCATCCGGCGAGTGGGGACGGTGCTGCAGCTCATGCACACACTGAAGTACTATTACTGGGCAGTTAACCCAGCACCCTGCAGCTCCATCACCCCTAGAGGCCTGGGTGAGTCTCCCGCACCTGACCTACAGATGACTGCTTTGCCTGCTCTACTCTGTGTAAACTCTGATTCAGCTCACTGCATTATCATCCAGCACTTCATTTAGCCAGTTTAGTTTGAAAGAGGGGGGGCAGAACCTTTTCACACACCTCAGGGACCCTCAGGACCTGGAGAGTACACACACGCCTATCTGTTGCATATGCATAATACACACACTTCCACAAATTCTACTAAAACATATCACGTATCACTCATCACACATGTACACAAGACAGACCATCAACACACACACAGACCCCTGGGATGATTACACATACATCAAAAGCTGCAGATTAGACTGTTTTGTGGTATATTATTTAGGTTTCATAGACATATTCAGCTTTTATTTAATGATCTCAAGTTTTTATTTTACATATTTGAGGCCACCCTTCATTTATTTAATTCACAGTCAAAACAGCCCTTAAGTAAAAGTTGTTATTCATTTTTCAGCATCAGTAAAAAGCAGAAAATGTATATTCAACAGAGAATTACACAGAACACCCAACAGCTACAGTTAATATCAAATTGTTTACAATTTTTGTGTCAATGATTTACCTTTATTACACTTTCCATTCTTCTCAAGAGACTTGCTTTCAGTTTCGCAAAGAAATCTGCAGGGATAATTTTCCGCACCTCCAAAGTTCAGTCTTAGAAGTTGGTTGCATGATCTAATTAATCCAAAACACATTCAATGATGTTGACGACTAGAGTCTGAGGTGGTCGTTCCATTGCTCTGAGGACACCAGCAGCTTCTTTAATTTGCAAATGTGCTTCTTTTTTGTCTATTTCCTTTTCTCAGTAAGGACTTCTTGACAGCTACACATCCTTTCAGACTTATAGTACTGAGTTGTCTTCTCACAGTGGAAGGATGGACAGAAACACCTGTGGGTTTTTTCAGATCTGAATCAAGAGTGGAGCTTGATTTTCTCCTCTCTCTCAAAGATGTTAGTTTAAAGTGCTGTTTATCTGATGGGAACAGTTTTGGTGGTCTACCAAGTCGAGCATGGTTGTTAGGAGTCCCATTTTCTCTGTATACTTTAATAATTTTTTGAACTCCAGCTTTGGAAACACTTGTTTTGTCCACTTATTTTCCTTTGGCATTTCCCTTTCTTATGCAAGTGCATTATATCTAATCTCTTCAGAAATATCCCATGAAAAATGAACAACTTTAATATTTAATATATTGCAGATATTGTTTTGTACAAAATGATGTCCAAGTCCCAACCAATCCACTTATATGTTTCCGTTATACAGAAAGATTAACCCAGCAGCTTCGAGTTACCATAGAGCAGCAACACTGATGCACATTAGCTCTGACTGCTTATATCCTTTACACTGCACCAATTGCACCCAGGGCTCTCTGAGTGAGCTCTAAGTAGCTCTCAGTCACATACTGCTCCACCATAGCCCAGCCATGTTGGCTAGAGAGCTGTTACTGTGACGTCAAAGACGTATCAGACCCATCACTATCCCTTCATTATCGGTGGTGACTGGGTGAGGTCATGACCCCTGCTGCCCCTCCGGCGTAGCTACCTTCTATTCTGGTGAGCTCATCTCAGCATGAGTTAGCCATGCAAAATGGGACTTAATACGGTGATTCACATCTCTCCGAAAGCGTTTTGGAAGTTTGACTCGCTGTAATTAAACGTCTAATGAAGTGACACACTGGCAGATAACCCTACTGAGCTCAACGGCTGTCAACAGGTCTGTCTGTATGAATGTTGATTCAGCCTTCATTATCTTGATGAATTTAAAGCAACTGCGGTCCTGTTTCCGTGAGGGAATATGACTGGTTTTCACGTCAGACAGAGTGGCCCTTGTTCATCAAAGTTGCATACAGTCACATATGATGATAAAATGATCATTGTTATCAGTTTTTTTTTTATTTTTCCCCAGTTTTCTCCCCAATTTAGTCATCTCCAATTCCACCCACTAGTTAGGACTCCCCCAATCACACAATACTACCAATGCTAGGAGGGTGAAGGCTAACACAGGCTTCCTCCGAGACCTGTGAAGCCAGCCAGCGCATCTTTTCGAACTGCCACTCACGCAACGTCATTGGACAGCTAAATGCGCTCGTAGGAGAGCGCCAACCGCCAGATCTGTTACGTCAGCTAACAGACTCTGACTAGCATCGCTTTGAGTGATGGGGGAGAAGGGGGGCCATCCTACCCACCCAGAGAGAGCAAGGCCAGTCGGGCTCTCTTGGACTCTCGGCCACAGATGGCTGTAGCATCACCAGTGATTGAACTTGCGATCGCTTGATGATAGGGCCAATGCTTAGACAGTTGTGCCACTCGTGCACACTGTTATCAGTTTTATCTGTACGGTTTATATTTTATGTTCAAACTCATGTCTAGACTCATGTCTAATGTGTAAACTTGAGCGTAATGTGTTAACAGTTTCCAGTTAAATCATAAAAATCATTATCAATATCAGCAGAAATATCACTAATCATTGTACTAAAAGGCGGTTCAGTTTGAATATTGTCAGTATGCATATTTGTCAGTGCAAATTGGAATTTGCAGACTTGGATCTTTAATGGCTCATTAGTTCTTCAATTGATTAGTACATATGAATAGATAAACAAGGATCAGACATGCAGTCATGGTAGAGTTAGCATCCTAGAAGACGTCTGTGAGAGCTAAGGGCTCATTATCCTGCTGAATGCATCCCTTTCATTGGCTCCTAACTTCACAAATTAGGGTGTAGTTTGTCTGTATGTAGGTAAGGATGAATTAGGTGTGTTGTTTGCAAATGATAAATTAGGGCAGGTAGGTGGGATTTCCATACAGCTCAAGGTGATTCATCACTGGCATTCAAACGAGTGCTTGCTTGTGTACATGTACAGCAGTACCATGATTAACCCCTTAAACTGCAAGGGGTCCACACTTCAATTCCTCACTACCATAGCTCCATATATCTGCAATAGTTATTGAGATTAATAACTGAATAAAAGCCCAGATATGAAGCGGTTAGCCCTTTTTACAGTAGCTTTTCTTCATAAAGAGCCTTTATTTATGATCCATTTGCGACCATATGGATAGTGGTTCTTCAGAGTGTCTTCTTTTTGGGTTTTGACACTTTTCCATGATTCATCTGATTGTCTTCATCCGTCTTGTAGCTGGTTGTCCTCTTTTCAGCTCAGTAATCAGATTTCTCAGTGCATGTGTACTCTTACTCTGATTTCTTTCAGAGTTCTCAGTCTGCACATTTAAATATTCTTCATCTTCTAGATGATGCATGTTCATATTTTTAGTTAAAGTGGCACAATAGTTAAAAAAAACTAGCTCATGTAAACCTGGAGTTTTCCCATTATCTGATTACCCAAGTGCATGTAAACGCATTGATCAGATTACTTACGAAATCTGATATTTTGCAGTTATCAGATGATTAAATGCATGCAATTCAACGGTTCACTCACTGTCAGCTCTACTTCACTTCTCTCCTGTAACTGTACTTTATTAATCTGATTTCATTTTTAATTTCAATGATTCTTCACTTTTAAAATATATTGTTTTAATCATGTTTTAATTTTTATTCACCTTTAATCTGTTAATTTTAAATTAGAATTTGAATGATCTTTGTTTTTCATCATTTTTATAGCACTTTGAATGCCTACAGTGCAAAACGGTGCTGTATAAATAAACCTTGCCTGCCCAGTTGTTAATAATGCATCCAATCAAGCAAAAGCTATCCACCACTTCTAAATACTACTTCACCATCAATGGAGCATTAGTGGCTTTCCCAATTTTTCTCATATTGTCCCATCTTTTCATTTTGTTCTTTAACGTTCCTTATAAGGAGAGTGACTCCTCAATCCTCTTATTCCAGTCCTGCTTCCCTTACTGAATGTTCAGCATACTGGATTAGCAAATATGGTGATGTAATGTACTGTAGTATGCAGCCTTGCCCAACTCATTTGCACATCTTTTGCAGGTCTGTCAAGGTAGTAAATCTGTTTACAACCTTATATTTATTGAAGTATTGGACTGAAATCTGGGTGTTTTAATTAGGTTTTGCTTACTGCAACTAAAGCCCTGTACAAGTTTTATTCGACAAGGTCTGGTGACTTTATTTATAAGGGATTTGTCTGGCTGATTCATATGAAAGAATATGTGTCAGTTCCATATTACCCCAGATAGCTCAGATTGAAACCTCATTGCTTAGATTGTCACATCGGTGTTAAGATTAAAATTAAAGCAGTCCAGACAAACAAACAACAAAAAATAGCTTCCAGTTAATACCAGAGAGAACAGCATTAGGCTAGTAAAGTGGGGTCATTCAACTTAATAAATGCCACTCCTCTGTAATCACTCAAATTACAGCACCTCTCTAAGTAAAATCAGTCCAGCTGAAACAGGGCTTAAGACCTTATTTAGTTTATTTACATGACTTTTGGCATAGATTTCACTTAATCTAGGAATTAGTGTGCAGGTAAACATGGTCATAGTTAGAGTAGCAGTACAAGCTTGGCACATAAGGCATCAGATAGTGTGAATAATGCACACACTAGGCCTTAAAAAGTGCCCCCCGCTACTTACTGATCCCTCTGTATCCCAGGCCTCTGCTCAGAAGAATAGAGCTTTCTGTGAATGAATAACTGATGAAGGTCTCAGTGTGGTGGAGACTCCACTTCAGGCTCGGTGGGCTAAATTTAGTCTGAGCTTCACTACTTACTTTGCAACTCCCTAAAAACATCCATCTTTTCCTCCCTCGCTCTCTTTCTCCTCCTCAGAATCTCATTGTCCGTCTCTCTTTCTGAAGCAGCCCACTTCCCTTTTTTTCACTCCGTCTCTTTGCTCTATTCCCCTGGTGCCCAATCCTGCTCCTGTTACTCTCGACGTCTCTCTCTCCTCCTCTCCCCCTTTTCTTTCTCACTCTTGCTCTCTTTTTCTCTATTTGTCTCTGTCTTTCTCTCTCTCTGTTTTGCTTTTTTCCTCACTCTCTCTCTCCCCACCTTCCT